AAAAAATATTTAAAAAAAAAACGAAATGTCTATTTGAAATCGGTATTTGCTTCCCTTCCTGATGAAAGCTGATAGATCTTAGTACTTAAAATACGTTAAGACAAGTTATAAATATATGTACGAGTATACAATACATATACATATAGTGTCATGGCGCCTGAAAGCTGCAATCTGCCCATCTTCTGGGCGGGGCTTCGCTGAGCACGTTCCCTTGGCAACACGGAAAGCGCCGTAGCTGGACGGCGAATTGTTGGAACACGTTTCCACGGCAACAAATACGACTGAAGAAGTATTGCAGTGCGTACAGAGTCACGTTTCTCTTGCAACGGAGAGGTAAGGGTTGTTGGCACAGTAAAGAAAGACGTATATACGAAGTATGAACCCTTGGAGACGGTAATCTCTATACGGCTCTACCAAAACCTACTTTAGGGAGCGACCTACTGATTGCGCTAAGAATATTAGATACAGACTTGCTCACCGAATTCGTACAAGGAACATCTACGAGTGGAAGTGTTGAAGACTTTGTGTGTTATTGTTCCAGTAACATTTTGAAGTGTTTGTAGATCAGCCTGGTGATTGTCCAGTAAATTGATTCAAGAATCCAGAGAACCCATTAATTACTTGTCGCGTTACCGGGATACATGGAAATACATATACCTTTATAAACACACATGCACATTAAACATGTAGGATTATATGCCTAAGGAAGTAGATTAAGGGAGAGAAATACAGATAACATATTGAAAATTTTCATATATTTAAAGCACGTTTCAGCAGAAGCCTTGCAGTGAGATATGCCACTGTCAAAAATATATTCTTCACAGATTTAGGCTGTCAACACTTTCATCATGTTTCCACAGCTCGAATGATAACATTTCATGGTTACTTTATGGAACATTCCATACATAACTTATTTTCTCCTCCGGACGTTTCATGTAATGATATTTTAATTATTACTAAGAAACACAATGGCATTTCCAACACTAGCTCTGACAGTACTGAATATACATGGTTTACGGATTTGTGTATCTGTCTATGCATGTATGTACGCCCACGCGCATGTAGCCTATAAAACTCTACGTATATTTGTGTATATATTTATGTATGTGTAACTCGTATGTATTTATATACGTACGTTTGCGTTACGTATATGTGAATACATATAAACCACGTATGTATTTGTGTGTGCATGTGTAAATTTGTGCATATGCGCATACATGTACGTGTATATGGGCTATGTAGGACTATATATGTGTGTGTGTGTGTATGTATGTATGTACATATGTATGAGCGTAGCGTTAGAGGAATTAGGCTCCAGACCTGATTCTGGAAGACAAAGAATAGCAATTTAGCCTGAATCCCGTACCTGTCTTTTCCACAGAATAAACCAAAAAGTTCACTCCTAAAATAATGAGCATAATGTTCAGACATCCAGTCAGTAATTCTATGTTCCAATGTGTATGCAGTTAAAACAAGCAGTACTTGACTTCAGCTCTAATCTACGTACATGTATGCGTTATTTAACAAGACTGTCGGAAGCTTAGACCATAACATCGAAAATACGAGTAGGAAGATCAATTAATGACTTGGTAAGGATGGTGGCCTCATTTCAGTCCTGGAGGAACTGAGGACAACCACAGTAAATATCAGCACAAGAGTAACGTCAACAACAACAAACGAAAGCTAGCGGTTGAGTGAGTAGTAATTTTTCTATTTATTCGGAAGATCCTTGGTTCAAATCGCGGGAAGAGAACGGTTACTCTTACTTAAATTTTAGTGGATTTCCTCAGTCTCTCCAATTTAATGCTGGCATAGTAAGCCTACGGGAGCCGAGATGGTAGTCGGTATAGCAATGGCTACGGGCCGGATGACCGAGGGGTTGGAGTTCGAGTCCCGATAGGGACAAGATTTTTCTCCACGTAGTCCAGGCCGCCTCTGGGGTCCACTCAACCTCCTAACCAATGGGTACCGGGTACTCTTCCCCCCGGGGTTGAAGCGACCGGGGCGTGAAACTGACAACTCACCTCCAATTAGTGCCGAGGTAAAAAAAAGTGGATCTAAACATCCACTTCCCCATACGCCTTCATAGAATAGTGCTTTATAAGTTAGGCGGAGGAATGACTTTACCTTTACTTTTACATAGCAGGCCTAATTTAGATAAGGTCGGGATCGGTTCCTTCCGTACCTTTCGAAACTTACTGTTCACTAAACGTCTTTCCTGTCGGCGTTCTCTAGTTGTGCTAATCACAAAGCAGTTAATACGCAACTAAACAATTAAGTGACAACAGATCGTTTTGTATTCCTTATAGTGTTGCTGACGTAAACACAAATTAAATTTCGTCGACGATAATAATTATTGCCATATATCACAGAATGTTACGAAAGATTACTTTTTCACATTAAGCTAGAGGTTTCTGTGTGCCACTTTTGCTCTGGGTGACTTGGCCAGTCTGAGCTTTGTGGCGACATCTCTTAGTCGGGTGGAGTCCTCCGCGCTCTAAGCAGATAGAAGCACTACAAGAAAAGTAGACTGGAACTTAACCCCCCACCCCATAACTTTATATTATTTTTATTGACATTCTAGCTCTTTATGCTCCAATGTTCTGCCCCTTCCTTTCATCAAATTAAATGAATGATATACGCCAATATATATCCAAAACTCCATGTTTTTTAATTATTTAAATAGTAAATTTAAGAGGTTTTTAAAATAGAATATGATTAAAATATTGTCAAAAATTCCACAAACACGGCCAGTCGTGTATACGTATACTTACATGTCATCATCATCACCAGTAATCTGTCAAGACGACAGGTTCACAGTCTCTTTCAAAACAGTTCCTCCACTTAATGCGATCTAGAGCTTTCTCCTTCAAATGACAGTATCCTCTTCTGTCCCCAAGGTCATCCAGCATCTTCTTACGTCTTCTTCCTCGTCTTCTTGTCACTTCTATCCGCCCATCTATCTTTCCTTCGATAGCTTCTTTTAGAAGGCAGTTTCTGCGTAAAACANTGCTACAGTAACTATGGACATGTAATCGCAAGTTTAATTCAAAATAAAACAAATTTCTAAGGGGAAGGAATCGATAATTGTACTAATCATTAAGGCATCTGTAGCCGTAAACCGAAGGAAATCAGTATATGTAGATAGGCAGAAAGGTGGCTAGCATCTCTGGACTAACCCCATGATGCATAGGCCACGCGGTTAGTCACTGGCTTCCCACCGCGGCGGCCCGGGTTCGATCGTGGATCTGGTCAAGTGGGATTTGTGGTGGACAAAGTGGCTCTGGGGCGGGTTATCTCCGAGTACATCGGATTCCCCTGTCAATCTTCATTCCACTAAATTCTTCATCATAATCACCCGGGGCAGGCTACAATAGGCCAATCAGTGGCCTCCGTGCCGAATGGACCCAGTTGGACTCCACCTCCAATAAGCGAAAAGATAAAAATACATCTGCAGTGTACAGACCTACTACATGTGCCTCTTTGTGATTTGTCACTACGAGAATCAAAGTGAAATTGCAAAGCTCTAAACTTGTGTTCAGGAGGCAACGGGCTCGAATTTAGTCGGGTTACTAGTTATGTTGATTATTTCAATAGTTTTCTTCGATATCTCCAGGCAATTGCCTGGCATATGTTGCAGTTGCTGATGGTCACCTCCTATTATATCTTTACGTACATCTCATTTCGGGCTAAGGACTCTTACCTCGTTGAAACAGTGTTATTAACATACATATAAATTTGTGACTTTGAAGAGTGATTGTTGAAAGATGAAGAGTCTCAAAATACGTAATTTCCGAAAAGAAATCTCGTTTTTATGGTTTGGTAAAATTAGTGCTTTATAGCCTACTCAGTGATGTCGTCAGTGGCATGGACCTCCAGATGCAGAGGATAGCTGTGAATGTGTGAATGAACAGTTGAGGACAACCAACAAGTACTGTTCCTCCGACTATGAAAATAGGGCTAACAATCCTTGCCGAAAAACAACAGCATTAGAAAAGCAGAAGTTAGATTTAATGGACATAGAGGAAGTCAGATGGGATAAAATCAGAAACGGGTTAGAGATTATTCTGCGGAAATTGCAATAATAATCATCCACTAGAGACAGGCGTTTTCGTATGTAAACGAATGTATTAAAAGTTAGCGGACGTTCTCCTTCCTCTGGGTTCTTGAACTGCAACCGGCCTCAGCTACCATATATTAACAGCAACAGCTCACAACTACTGAACTTCAGTTCTCTAACACACTGTCTCGCTCAGTAACTCATCAATCTACTCAAATCAATTCAACTCTCATTAACTGCCCTGTTTATAAAATGTAAGCACGGACTGCAGAGAAAACACTTCCTCTATTGTTGCTTACGGGTCGTTGCCTATTAACGATCGTTGTCTAGTTGTTTCTTTCTCAATCGTTGTCTAGCAACGAGTTTATATGTAACAATATTGTCAAATGTATGAGTCCTTTTTGTGGAACAATTACTGACATGGGGCTAATGATCTTGGGCAGACTGAGAAACTTGCAGCTGAACCTGCATTACCTGAGTCTATTTCTATTGATGTAATAGCGCCATTCGATATAGGATCCCTAATTTATGTAACAGGAAGACCTTTTGAAACAAGGCGGAGTTATTAAAGTCGTGTTTTTGATGATATCCTTAGCAAGAAATTAAAAATTCGACGACGTAACTTATAACATTATTGTTAACAACGGAACCTGAAGCACATCTGTCACGTGATATTACCTAGAAATATGAACAAATTTACGGACTTTCATGAAGTTTGTTATGCTTATTTATAATGTAATTGAGGCCTTCCTCCCTTCTCTTAAATTTTATTGGCAGAAACCTCATATAAAATGAAACAACTGAGTTTCAAAGTTCGTATATCTGTAAGTTTTGGCTCAACTTGCTGTTCAGATGGATGCATCATAGAAATGAAGTTATTACACAGCGTTTTACATTTAACTAGATTACCTTTGCATCACCTTCACTTCTTCCACTTTACCTCTTTGTTTCGTTTCACTTCCACTTCCACTTCCACACTGCTACTAATTCTCCCTCTTCCAGGTCTCGAAGTAGTGTCCGTATGTGTTCTAGAAAAAAAAAGGAAAAGAGAATTATACAATCATCTTCTCGAAACAAATTAATAATGTAACAAATTTAAAAGCGGCAACTTTCAAATACGATAGAAATTAAGCAATATCCTCGCATCTAAAATTGAACAGATCGTTAAATAGGTTCGTGTTTCTAATTGTCCTTCCAAGATTTCAGAGTAGCAGAACATTTCTGTCAATATGTCTACTGTCTTGTCTAGCGCATTATTCTAATTTCATAGTTGTCTCTGTTGAATACTTCCTACTGATATTATTGCTGTTGTTTGGAATCTCAGGAGCTCTCTGGTTCAAACCTCAGCTGGTAGACTACCTATCCATACCAAGAATTGTTATGGTTGTTCTCAGTTAATACTTGAACATTCTTATCAACAAACTCTTTATACATAAGCTGTTATTTCTCAATGGACACTACACAGTTTTCGTAACTAATGTAAGGTCCTTAAATAGAACCTAAAAAGTGAAAAAGAAATTAAAAACGAGGATAAAATAAAGAGAAGATGAAAGAAATAAATGATTGACTTGGAAAAAGAAAATAAGGGGGGATAAGAAGCAGAAACAGAAGGAGGAAGTAAGAGAAGAAGAATAAGTGACGTTAGTGAGAATTTCGTTGTTATAAATATACTGTCTCTAGAAATTGCTACCAAATTTCTAAATAAATTCACCTGACAGCCCGTTAATCTAGATAGATCTAATTCTCCACGATATTGAAATCCAATCTAGCACACTGAACTTTGTTAGAGCGAGTTCCTTTACAAACTGATTGTTTTAATAACATAAAATCAATCATAAAGGTAAAATGTGAGTCAGGTCCGTGCCATTAATGTAAGTTTAAAGGACAGTGCTGAGTATCATATGTCTATCTTTACTGTTAGCTTCTTTCAAAATAACATGAAATACCCAATGCCGACTCGAAATGGAAAATAAGACATGTCTACTCGAAGGACAAACTTTAAGTTGTAAAGATCTTGTATTTGAATTTAAGAATGGAGCTGTATACGCCAACTAAATGGACATATTTTCCAAATCACTTATCTCAGATTATGTATGAGTCATTGATCTTGATATTAATTTACTGAAAACGTAAATCCATTGACGTAACAGTAGTCACGTCATACAAGGTCTCCACAAATCACAAATTATTCTTAATTCTTCAAACAAGTTTTTCAGATTAATCACAACTATATTTTACATCCACCTCAGATCTGGAGGACCCCAGCTTCATATTTAATGAAGAGTTTGTTCTTTCTTGTAGTGTAGAGTCCGGGGAGTGAAGTTCGCCACTAACCCTTACCAAATGCAAAGATTAAACATACGTTGAGATACATTACAGTCCCACTGAGCGTCTTCGTGGTGTATCCTATTAATTTCTTGTACTACTGACATTTTTTCTTAATATCGGTAGCTTCATGTTCAGTTTGTCCTTCGCGTGAAGTAGAAGATATAACTGACTTGTATGGAAATTAAATTTATGCGAAAACTTCAAAGTAGATTCCCCTAAAAACAAACGTTATCGAAATCTTCAGACACTGAACACGAGAACGGTCAGATGCGACTTTTCCATTATGTGTGTTTGTGTTCCTTTTCTGTTCCTTGTTTTTGCATTTTGTGCAAATGACGTGTTGTAGGGGTCTATACGTTTCATATCTTGCATCAGCTATGATCCCATTGATCAATAAGCGCCCCTACGTTGTACTGTGGGGGCGCGAACATTGAGTGACGGAAAGGGGTGGCTGGAATAACAGCGGTGCCCCAAAGGGTTGCGACCCAACCGACTGCAAAGAACAATCTGTCCGGCTTCTTGATCGAAGCCAGGCAATCCTGCCATCTTCTCACGTGGAGTCACAGGAAGATGCTTTAGGAATTGAATGCAAAACCGATGTAAGTAAACCCTACGTTACATTCCAAAATGTCTATTCCCTTCTGCACTCTCAATCTTGTCGTGGAAGTACTAAGATCCAGAAGGGCTCCTTCTGAAGGGCTATTAACAGCCGGATTGCCCTTACTATCTCAACCACCTTAATGAATATTTTGCCTTAAGTCACTGAAACAAGGCCTCAGGTGTTCATAAGTGCATTTGGTTTCGATTTCTAGCAGGGGCAAGAGATGTTTCTCTCTTCCACAGTATCCAGACCGGCTACGAGGCCCACCCAGTCTCCTATCTAATATGTCCCGGGAGCTCTTTCCACCAGGGTTAAAGTGGTAGGGGCGTGAGGCTGACCACTCATCTCTATCTAATGCCGAGTTCGAAAATTGAGGAGCTATACTTCTACTCCTCCATACGTCTCCATGGCGTGATGTTTAATTAATTAAGCACAGAGGAAACTTCTCATTTTTCTATCTGGATATTTTCCCGAATATGATCCAAGAAAGACAACTGTTGAATTTTCTATTCTGTGATAAATCTATTTACTATGCGTATCTGCCTTATATATTCCATGTCTCTAATGTGATGAAACTAATTAACAGACATCACTTCCAGTTCTGCATGAAAAGTGTATTTTACTAATCGGTTTCAATAAAGTGCATGGAGTAGGAAGTTCTTCGATTGTCTCGGCTTCTAAAAATTAAAATTTAGTTTAATTCATATGAAAAGAGTGTGAGCGGAAGCCCTTCTTACCCTTACTTCCAGATTATGCGGTTTAACTGCTCTTCTGTACAACGCAATTCGCGGATCTCCACGGCCCAGTGGATAACGAACCTCCTTCTGGTCCTGAAAGGTCAGAATTCACATCTCAAACCAGAGTCCATCTATCCTGTATTTCATGGTTTTCTACACTCTTTCCAAGTAAGTTTCGGAATCTTAGTACCTTACACTTTGTGGATCTATACATCCACTCCCCCATACGCCTTCATGGCTTCGTGCGTAATTAGTTAAGCACAGGGACAACTTTACATTACACTTCCTTCCACATCACTTGTAATTCATTATTCACTATCATCGGAATCGTAGTACCTTACACTTTGTGGATCTATACATCCACTCCCCCATACGCCTTCATGGCTTCGTGCGTAATTAGTTAAGCACAGGGACAACTTTACATTACACTTCCTTCCACATCACTTGTAATTCATTATTCACTATCATCGGAATCGTAGTACCTTACACTTTGTGGATCTATACATCCACTCCCCCATACGCCTTCATGGCTTCGTGCGTAATTAGTTAAGCACAGGGACAACTTTACATTACACTTCCTTCCACATCACTTGTAATTCATTATTCACTATCATCGGAATCGTAGTACCTTACACTTTGTGGATCTATACATCCACTCCCCCATACGCCTTCATGGCTTCGTGCGTAATTAGTTAAGCACAGGGACAACTTTACATTACACTTCCTTCCACATCACTTGTAATTCATTATTCACTATCATCGGAATCGTAGTACCTTACACTTTGTGGATCTATACATCCACTCCCCCATACGCCTTCATGGCTTCGTGCGTAATTAGTTAAGCACAGGGACAACTTTACATTACACTTCCTTCCACATCACTTGTAATTCATTATTCACTATCATCCTAATCATAGCTATGTAGACTGGGCTACAGACAGCGCCGTTAAGCATACCATAAGTAAATAAATACCTCTCCAGAAAAATTAATTTAATTGTAAATTTCTGCAGCGTGGGGGATGAGTTGACTCGAGATTCGAACCCAGCACCGTAAGAGACGGAAAGCACGACTCAATAGTATAAGCTTATTCATTGCGCATATTAAAATAAAATGGAGCTGCTGTTATAATGTCGAAAACTGAATGTGCTTTTATCAAAAGTGCAAAACCGAATAACTAACTTAAAGCAAGTACTGTTAGTTCACCATCCGCAACGCACTAAAATATATTTTTTTTATAAAATGAGCCATTTATAATTAGCAGGGATCAACAATTAGTAAACGACAAAGCACACTTTCTTTAAAACTGCTGTAATTTCATAAGTTTTCAATTTGCTGTATTATCGCTACAATAATTTTATATCTATTAACCGTTTATTGCAGTCACGAGGCTTAAAGTGTCCATAGTTTTTATCCCATGCGTACTCTGTGGTCTTGGGTTCAATTCATGCTAGGGACATTGATGCTTCTGTTTCTTGTATTGTGTTTTGTTATGGTAGTGGGGTGCTATTGTGCGTAGAAAAATTCTCCATCTAATTTATTCTGAGATCTAAGCAATGAAGGNTGAAGGTAAATGACAGAGAGAGAGTGAGAGACAGTAATGCCTAATATGATACAGCCTTACTAGGAGCAGTTTGGTAGAAACATACTCTTCCGTTACTGTCCTTTCAGCCAAAATATAAATGTTTTGGTGGATCGCCACTTAGGCCACTCTCGCACTAACTGCCGTTTAGCCTGCCTGGGAAAACACAGAAACCCTTTCTTCGCGGCATGAGGTGTTACGTGCTCCAGAGAGCCGCCCTCCTTCTGATGGTCACAACAACCACTCAGCTTCAAATTTGTAATATTTCTTCCCTTCCTCGACACTGATAATGCTCTCGTTTCTGCTTTCCTTTTCCATGCCACTGTCCTCCACCCTCTTTGAAAACACTCCCTTCTCTTCCTCCTAACTTCTGACATTTGGAGATCTGTAAGCCTCTTCACATACAGAACAAGTATTCAAGTCGTCGCGACGGCAAAGTTTGAGATTGTGTTCTTGTGTTTTGATGTCGTTTAGACTTGTAAGCGGTTACTGTGTTTCGGAGGCACATGATGTCTCCATCTTCAGGCGCGTAGGATAAGGAATCATTTGGGTTAAGAAATAACCCTGAGCAATATTACCTCCCCATAGAAAATAAACTAATATACTCGTATATATGACGTTTTTTCTCACAACGATAAATGTTCAGATTAGGGATTTCTAGGTTGTGACACCGTGCAGACTTGTGAGAGGATACTGCATTTCGGCGGTATATGATATTTCCATCTTCAGGGATGAGGTGTGTAGGATATTAAATCGGTTGTTTTAAGAGAGAACCCTGTTGCCTCATCATCCAGGTTACGCGTGGGTTTAATTCACGACAGTGAATGTTCAGATTGTGGTCATCTGAATTGTGACGCCGTTCTTATGAATGACGAAAGTGTTGTATGTCATGTATCTATAAAAATACCTATAAAATGTATTTGTTTACAGTTTCAGTATAGTTGAAAAAAGTGCTAGTGTGGAGGCAAATATTCAAGGTGACAATGAAGAAGAAAGTGCAGATGCGTGACGTCTACATCAGTTTCCCGTCCATCATAACACCACACTTCTAATAAATAACAAACATGTTCGAATGTCTATAAAATCAGTTAGTTTATTAAAATATTTTACTTAAGAATGTGACTAATAATATGGTTTTGCATTGGATAACTGGATTCATTACCCACTCCTTGTACAAACACTTGTAATCAAAGTGAATTACAACAAACAACAAGAAACCTTCAGCCAAACAATTCCTCGTAGACTGCCTAGGCCTCACTCAGTTCTGACTGGATTCTCTCTATTCTGACTCGATTCAAGTCAAAGTCATATTGTGACTGACGGTCAGTCAGTCAGTAAGTCTTGGTGTCGAGCCCCATCTGGGGCTCATGACCAGATATTAATTATTACCATTTGACAATTACGGTCTTATTTTTGTGCGGCGCCCTTTCTGACGAGAGGACGGGTCTGTCTTTTGCATATGCTGCTGGCCCTTGCCAGTGCAGTCTTTCTCGGGTCCGAGTCCCCTGGGACTCGTGACCATATTTTACTGTCTCAGATTTGAGATTTTGACTCGATTCGATCTGGGTTTCCTGTTATGTAACGTCGGATCGGACTGACAGAGGAAACATCTTTCAATCTTGTATCCAAGGAAACGTCTGTTTATCACACAGAGGCGGGTTGCTGTCCAAGAATCAATCTCCACGGAAACGCGTTTGCCGACTCGCTCCCCACCAATGGGTCTACATGTCACAATATATTATTTTACGCTATACATTTCGGCCGTTTATGACCATTATTAGGCGTTATATAAGGAGTAAATTGCATCAACGTCCATTACTGGACAAAGCATGCACGCGAAGGGAATATATGACTTTACTTAGAGAGGAAATGCTTTACTTATACAGGTCGCAAATGAAATATCTTTGACTTTATGGATAACGGCGGTGATTACGAACTGTATGTATGTGATACCATGTAATCTTGTATAAGTTTCTCGATATTTCAGAGGACGGTCTACTTCCATCTTCAGAGTCGAAAATTATAAGCAAGTAGACAGCAAGGAACTCTCTTCACTGCTTGCTTCTTGCAGGTTACTTGCGTGGTTTCGATCCTGAATATTGAGTCAGTACCTTTCTCTAAAACACCGAAAAATTTCTGCTATGCTTCACGGCGACAAGTTCCAAAAGATAACATTCTTCTTAGTTTGAATATGTTTGAACCAAGAGAATGTACTGTACATGCTGATCGTTGTCAAATTGAGTTACATCACCGGTTTAGTCCTTTCTGGTTATAAGTAGTCTACACTAGTCAATACTTATTTTTATTTACTTCCCGCTCAAATATTGTGAAATAAAGCGTCTGTATAAGAAACTAAATTTATATTTGTGATAAGTGATATTGTTAGGTGTACCGGGCGACAAGTAATCCATTTGGAAGCGTAAGTACAAAGTACATAGCTCTTTTACGCTGTTCTCTTATTTTCGTTGCCTACCAAATGTATACAAAGAGCCGGGATAGCACAGTCGGTACAGGGACTGACTGCGGGCTGGACGCATGAAGGAGTCGGAGTTCGAGTCCCGGTATGATCAAGAACTTTCTCTTCTCCATGTTGTCTAGAACGGCTCTGGGGCACACCCAGCCTCCTATAAAATTGGTAAAGTAGGGTAAATTGGCCAGGACGCGAAGCTTATCACTCGCATCCAACTAGTGCCGAGGTCAAGAAAATGTGGATCTATACCTCCACTCCCCTATACGTTTTCATGGCGTTGTGCTTAATTAGTAAAGTACAGAGACAACTTTACCTTTTACCTTTACCAAATGTTCACACTGACCAGAGTGTACAGAGATATGTATATTCTTTTTTTTCTTAATTTGAAATTCTCACAGCAATTGGTATGGGATGTAACACCAGTAAAAGTAAAGCTATCCCTGTAACAGGCCGTGGAGACCCATAGGGTTGTATGATGTTGAGGTTCCCACATTTTCTAGACAACCGGCTCATAGATGCCGGCAAAGTTGTCAGCCTTATGCGCCGGCCGCCCTTTACCCCCAAGAATATTCCAAGAATATTCCTGGTACTCATTTCTGTTAGAGGCTGAGTCGACCCCAAAGCCATAGTGGGGCTGGAAGGATTAGGTAAATTGAAGAAATCTAATGACCTCATCGGGACTTGAACCCGCTACTTTCCACCTTGTAGCATAGTGCCTCAACCAACTATGCTACCGTGTGCCCCCGGGATGTAACACCAGTAACATTCAAAATCTGTTATCTTCTCTGCTGTCTACAAGTCTGCAGATTAAAACTGACAGAATTTTAACATTTCATCTTGTTCTATATGAGCGTCAGACCTGATCTCTCACGAGAAGAGAAGAACGTAGATGCAGGCTGTTTGGGAATACGGTACGGAGAAGAATATCTTATTGCGCCTAAAACACAGGAAGTATCAGGAGGGTGGAAAGGGTCGCACGTTGTGATAAGTAATTCCGCGTTCTGTAATCAAAATAAATGTAGCCTGCATTTCGAAGATGAAAG